AATGCCCAAGACCAGGATTCTCTCTAAGCTATGCAGCTGCCTAATAAGCACTGTGCATGGGCTCAGAACTGCTGCACATAGAGCTATCAGGGATGGGGGAGAGGTGTATTCCTCCAGTCCCAGCAGCAGGACCAGATTAAGAAAGGATCTTAGGGGCTGCAGCCTGTAAAACACCTGTGATCTGGGCCAGCCCTTCCTGGAGGAAGAGTGGGAGATTGCAGTTCTGCACATTGTCATTCGTCCTCCTCTGCCCCAAGCTGCAGCCACATCACCACAAGTGCCAAAACACTGTGTCTCCATATTGCCTTCACCCAAAGGCTCCGCTGCCCCCAACTACCATTGGCTGGGAATCATGGCCAAAGGGAGTTGCAGAGTTGGTGCTTGCAGGTGTTTCCCATCACCACCAAATGGGAGCTACTCTAGGTAAGAGCCCCGCATTCCAACCTGTGTCTCCAGCCCTAAGCTCCTCCATATACCCCAAGTTCCTAACTTCCACCCAGACTCCACACCCCAATCCAGAGTATCAGCTCAGCATCTGTTCCACTACCCTAGATCCCTCCTAAACCTCATATCCCAACCTTTAGCCCTGTCATGAACCCTAACTCCAACACAGATTCTGAAACCTAAACCCAAACGCCTGCCCTGAGCCCATTCCTGCACTCCTTCACCCCAGCCTGGAGCCTCTTGCTATATCTCAAACAACTCAGCCCCACCTCAGAGTCTGCACCCCCAGACAGAGCACTCATACCACTCCCCAAGCCTGAGACCCCATCCACACTCTGAACCCTTCAGCGCCATCCCTACCACAGATGAGGCATGCATAGAATGAATTTTGTTATGTGCACCAATATGAAGGTGATGTGTCACACATCTTCATATTGATGCACATAACTACATTCATTCTACACAGACATAAAGTATTAAAATACACTGCCCAAGACCCTCTGGGCCCAGGGCACTGGCTAGGAGGAGCCAAGCCCTGCATGTGCCAGAGACCCACGCAGCACTGGCACAGGGAACACTCTCTGTCCTTCATCTAAGCTTCAAGTGGTAGCAGGGGGCGGGGAAATAATTTCTAGCCTGTTTGCACCCTGAACCTATAGGCTACACAACAGTCCCCCTGGTAAGGGCTTAGAATCTGCTTCACCATTCCTCTCCTTGAATCCTGCTCCCAAGGAGAAAGGGCTATTCTATTCTCTAGGTACCCTCCCCTGCTGATCTACCATTCTGATGGGCAGGAAGGGACAAGCTACTTCCAATCATGGAGTTGAGAGCGGAGGAGGGAGAAGAGATGAATTTTGCAAAGACAGGGGCCAGCTCATCATTCCCTCCCATCACCCGCAAGCTGGAAGCAGCTCCTTCCCTCCCACATGGTGCCAAAAGGCTGCTGCTGGCCACAGTCTGGTGTGAACCCTGAAGGAAATAAGGGATGGAGGGTGATCTTGCATTGTTCCCCTCACATGTTGCCTTGTGAAAGTGCAGCACCAGATACCAGGAGAGGCACAAGGGCAGGGAGAAGAGGATCAGTAAGTCACCCTTCCACACCCATGTAAGAGAGGGGTATAGGAGTGTGTGCCTGACCTCGCTCAGTGTGTGTCACTACTTTCTCTACCCTCTGTGAATCCTAAAGCCATACAGATAAAAGGAAAATAAAAAGAATCCAACTACACAGTGTTTCTTTTTAACAGGGGTCAATGAACTTAATATTAATTTGAATGTTTGTAGAGCATAGTTCTGAATATGAATAATTTTACTAGGGGTGCATCTACATAGCGGAGCTTAATTCGAAATAAGTAACGCAAATGGAGCTACGTCAATTGAGTAGCTTATCTCAAAATAGCTCATTTCAAAATTGGGAGTGCCTATACAGCACTCTATTTCGAAATAGAGCTCTCTTCCTCCAACTTCCCTTACTCCTCGTACTATGAGGGTTACAGGAGTCGAAGTAAGAAGTCCTCCAGCTTGACAATATTTCAACATTATTTCGAAATAACTGCCTTCTGTGTAGACACAAACTAAATTATGTAAAAATAACACTAGTTATTTCGAAATAATGTTGCTGTGTAGACGTGTCCTAGGTGTTCCGCCTCATAGAGAAAAATGGTCACCCTACTAATAACTAAAACCTGCTTCAAGTTAACATTTTAACTCTGGCTGCAAAGCAATTTGCAATGTTTTAAATGTTGAACTTCACAAAAATGGCACAGATTGAGATATTTTATTTTTAAGATTCTGTGATACCAAACTACTGAAAAAGACTTAGACGAGTCAATAATGTTGCTAAATCCAAATTATTTAATTTGAACTACAGGCAGTCCCCGGGTTACGTACAAGATAGGGACTGTAGGTTTGTTCTTAAGTTGAATTTGTATGTAAGTCGGAACTGGCGTCCAGATTCAGCCACTGTTGAAACTGACCAGCGGCTGACTGCAGGAAGCCCGAGGAAGAGCTGCTCTGCCCCGGGCTTCCTGGAATCAGCCGCTGATCAGTTTCAACAGCGGCTGAATCTGGACGTCTGGGACAAGAGCAGCTGGGACACTGCAGGGTAGGTCCCTGCAGCGCTGCACCTCGGGGACCATCCAGGCAGCACCCCAGCTGCTCTACCCCAGGTATTCCTAAGTCAGCCGCTGCTGAAACCAGGCTTTGCTCCGCGTCTCCCTGGTCTGCTGGGGGGGTCCGGAGCGGAGCGGCTTTTCTCGCCGTGGAGGACGCGGGCGGCAGGACCACCCGCGTCCTCTGCAGCGAGAAAAGCCTGGTCTGCTGAGGGGGCGCACTAGCTGCGCCCCTCTCCCCAGCAGACCAAGGAGACGTGGAGCAAATGCGGGACCGCCGCGCATCTGGGCAGTCCCGCCGCCCCCGTCCTCCACGGCGAGAAAAGCTCCGTTCGTATGTTGGGATCCGACATAAGTCGGATCCACGTAACTCGGGGACTGCCTGTACTTTTTATGGCATCCTCAATTTTTTTAAACCTCTCAGAATTAAAGGTAAATACAACTTCTTCTCTTGACTCTTCCTGACACTAAGTCTTACTATAGGTTTCTTCTCTAGCACACAGAATTTGTGATTAAAAAAAAAAGATTTGTAAATAGGCATGTGATCTAAATATTTGGAAAAAATGATTTAGAACCTTAATGCCAAGTAAAATCCTTCCATATGGTCAAACTTTTAACTGTACCCAGGGGCCCCCAGAGTCAGTCAGTACTAAAATTCACTTCTTGTTGACTGATGCCAGAGATCTGTCAAGATTGAGGGCATTACTGAGATATCAACTCTGAGACAAGCTACCACTGTATGTCAAACATAGGCATCGCTCTCTCTCCCCACCACCATGGGTACAGAATTGCAGCTCTTTTACAGTTATTTTTCCACTCCAGCTCAGCGTCAGAAGGCAGGGGGGTCACTCAAACCACAGTGGCCTTGTGCAGCCCCCACACCCTCTTTAGTTGGATAACTGATTGAACATTATGTTTAATTGGCTACCAGTTAAACAGGATTTTATATACCTTTTATAGAGGTGTGAAAAACTTTTTTGGGGTCAGAGGCCACTGACCCACAGAAAAATTATTCAGGGGCCACAAAAAAGTGAGAAGCAAAATAAAAAATAAACCCTGACAGAGAAGCAGAAAGTAGGGATAGTAGATTTTGTGGGCCTCCCTATGCTCTCTGCTGGGACCAAAAATGAGAGGTTCAGTGTGTGGGGTTGCCGGGGCACAGGTTGGGTGTGGGGTTTGGGCAGGAGGTAGGAAACAGGAATGGAGTGGGAGTGAGGGGTCTAAAAACATACCCATACTCCTGTTTTACTCTAATTACTGTTTTATTTATGTGGTACAACAGCAACTGTGGTGGCTTTGCAGGCTGGTACTCCATTGCAGGAAAAATCAATGATGCAGACCCTATTCTGTCTTGTAATGTTAAAAAAAAAAACCCAAAACAACAACATGTACCAGTCCTGGAACCCAGAGAAGGCATTGCTTCCCCTTGGCCATTAGGCTTTTTGCTGGTGGCCATTTTGTTTTCTTGATCAAGCCAGAACACAGCTTCCCCACAGAACCAGGTAAGCAGGAGGTCCGGGGCCAAGAGTGTCAGGGGCTCGGAGCAGGGGAGGCCAGGGGCTGGGTAGGGTTGCCAGGTGTCCTGTATTTTCACCTCCTGGTCGGGAAAATAAATCAGAAAATACAGGTGTCCAGTATTTTCTGAATTTTTTTTTACCGGACAGGAGGCGAAAATACCGAACTGTCTGAGTCAATACCAGACATCTGGCAACCCTAACGGGGTCTGGGCGGAGGGGGGAGGAGGAAGGCACAGGGCTGGCGCACCAGCTTCCCGATGTTGGGGGGAGAGGAGGGTTGAGTTTCAGGGGCTAGATTCAGGCAAGCTGTGGGCCAGATTTGGCCCCAGAGCCATAGGTTCCCTCCCCCCCTCTTTTTGTACATTACATAATACCACTCCCTATCTACAGCAAATCTGTACCACAATTTAATATTCCTGTTTACTTGGTTTAGTTTTATTTCTCCAGATATTCATAAGAAGCTATCAACTTTATGGTGTTCATAATCCAAACTATAACAGATAACTTAAAAATTTTCACAGACTCAAATTCAAGGTGTGTGAAAATGTGTTTTATGTTCCCTTTTCAATATACAAACAGGTTACAATCTCAATATTAATAATAACAGGAACAGATTATGACAAAGATAGAGTTTTCACTGGGGATTCCTTATCTTTGCTCTTTAGAGCAAGCTCATACCCAGGTTCAAGACTAAAAATGAATATATGTTTAATTTCTCTATACACGTGGTGTTAAATGAACTGTGAAGTATGAGTATCAACATGAAGCTCAACCATTTGAATTACTTTAACAATGTGAAGGTGGAATTCACAGGTCCATTATTCAACATTCTGAAACAACTTGAAATTACTATTCATATTTCCAGCTAATATTAACCATCTTAATCATTTTCATAACCCTTAAAGAAGCAACAAAAGGAAAGAGAACTTACCAGTGGTTCCCTGTTTTTGACAAGTCTGATTATTTTTACTGAGTCTTCCTCCTCATCAATATCATCTGGGATGGGAGGCAATACTGGATCATAGCTCTTCTGAGCAACAGTATCATGTACAGAGAGCAAAGCCTGAAAATGTCAATTGTCAACATTAATATTAGTCTGACAATATTAGACTAATGCAAAATGCAAAAGTGAGCCATATATAATCTGAGTGCTGCAGTGCCATACAAATTTATGTAGAATGTCTGCTACTTGTTTATGCCATTTTATCTGTTTGTTAAACAGTAATAAAACAACCCAATAACGTAACTATTGTTAAGATCCACTACATAGATAGCTACAAATTGTGTGTGAAGAAAGGCTGCTTTGAGAATAAATTAGGATGCCAAACACTTTGTACCTTAATTCAAAATTACAAAATTTGTAGTCTAGAGAAAAAAAAATCTTGAAGGTAAAGTATTGTTTCTCCTGATATAAGTTCAGATGCATAATTCCATTACTGTGATATGGAAGCTCTTAAAACACAATAGGGAATGCCATGAGTCAAACAAGATAACTAACTGCTGCCCCTTTTTCTTGAGGCTTGGAAAAAAAAATACTAGACCCAGTCATCTTATGGTATGCAACTCCAGCTATGTAAATAACGTAGCTGGAGTCAACATACTTTAAGCCAACCTTGGCAACATCTTCATAGTCGGAGGTCGATGGAGCAAATCCTTCCGTTGGCTTCCCTTGCTCCTTGCAACTGTCAGGAGTACCAGAGCCGACCAGGGGCACCCTCAGCAATAAATTTAGCAGGTTCTAACTAGATCCACTAAATTGAACGCTGATGCAGCAGGTGGAGATGAGCCTCAGTGTCAAATGGTGTGTTGCTAAACTGTTACAGAACTATCCAATAGGGAGTCAGATGTTAGCAGCTTTGCTCCTGGTTCATCCGTTCCTTTCATTTCAGTTCCAACAGCATAAATCACTCTCTCACAAAATTGCACACTGAAATTGAAAAAAACCCCATACTTCTTAAGGGTTTGGGTTTATTCATCTATCAGTATATGTCACTTATGAGCTAGCTTCCCTTCTTGTGAGAGGGTCTCAAATGCTTCTTCAGCTCATGCTCACTATTTGGATAACAGATTCTTACAAAAAACAATATATTATTCTCTTTCCTTACAAAAATGACCCAAAGGCTTCAACAGTTTAACCCATTATAAATTTCTATGCCGAATTTTCAAAGGGTCTTGGTAAGTCAACAGGAGATGAGTGTACTTAAGGACACTTTGAAAACACCAGTCAAAATCTACATAAAAATTGCTACCTTTTTTTAGAAACAGCAATATTAAGAATTACATTAAATGAAAGTCTGTCCAAAAATTCTCCAGGATTCTTTTAACAGCTTTCAAATTGGCAAATAAGTTGGATAAATGAAACTACTTCAATTTTCCAGTTAATCCTACACATTATAGCTGAAACAAAAGCTATAACTATGACTGCCTAAGGGTTTAAAAAATATTGGTCTTTATTTTCAGTTGCTTATAACTCCCTGAATGTTTCAAATTTTGGCCCAACATTTTTGGGCCCAAAGATTTTTTGACAATGTTTTAGCCAAAAATTGATTTTTTTTAAAATGAGTAGACTGAAAAGAAGAGACATCCCCAATAATTTTTTTAAAACTCCTATGGTTTTTAAAATTAAACCATACTACTGCTGAAATTATTAGGATTATAAAGCTGAATTTTTGCACTAAGTCCTAACTGAGGAGAATGACACTTTATAAGCACAAAAATGGTCATACCAGGTCAGACTACTGGTATATTGAGCCCAGTAAGTACCTTGTGTTCTGACAGTCAATGTCAGAAGCGTCAGAGAAAATTAACAAAACAGGGCAATTATCAAGTGATTCATCCCATCATCCAGTCCCAGCATCTGGAAGTCAGAAGCTTAGAGACATCTATATCACAATATCTATCCATAGATATATACATATAACTATCCTGCCTAATAGCCATTTATAGATTTATCCTCCAAGAACGTATCTAATTATTTTTTGAGCCCAGTTTTATGTTTGGCCCTTACAACAGCCCTGGTAAAAAATTTCACAGATTGACTGTGTGTTGTGTGACATCACTTTTAAACCTGAAGCATACGGATTTCACCGGGTGATCCGTGCTTTGTGTGTTAGATGAAAGGGTTCCTTATTCAACCATTCTTGATTTTATGGCTCTCTATCATACCACCTTTACTCATCTCTTTTCTAAGCTCCGAAGTCCCAGTCTTTTTACTCCCTCCTCACATGGAAGCTGTTCCATATTCTTAATCACGATAATAATTAAGGTTTCTTGCACACAAAAAAACTGTTTTGTGCAAGAGGTCTTGCGCGTCCACACTGCCATGTGCTTTGGTGCAAGAGATGTACTTTTCTGCAAGAGCGTCCATGGCAGTGCGGATGCTCTCTTGCACAAGAAACCCCTGTTGTCCATTCACACTGCCTTCTTGCGCAAGAGGGCTTATTCTTCATGGGGAGAGGAATAACTCTTGTGCAAGAAGTCCTCTTTTCTGATGCTTTACTGTAAATTTGCTTGCATAAGAACATGCATGCAGTGTAGACGCTCCGCAAGTTTTTGCGCAAGAACACTGTTCTTGCACAAAAAGCCTACAGGGTAGGTATAGCATTACTGTCTTATTAGCTATCTCTTTCCTAATGCTTGTTAACATAGATAACTTTTTTTACTACTACTGTGTATTATGGATCGTTATCTAAAAATATCTGCTTATTGACTCTTAATATTGCATTCAGCCCGTAAGTGACAATTTGAAGACAAAGTAAAGGGAACGTAAATTTAGGAAAGGGTTAATCAGGAATTCCATAACTCTTGTCAAATGGTAAAAGATAACTCCTTAATTTGTCTGATACCAGTTCTCTGGTAATTTAATGGGACATGGGTAATGTTAGAAAAGTATGTGATTACTTCTTTCTTGTTTAAAATCTACATAAACTTCACACTATATGTTGTCACTGATTACATGGATACCTTATTTTTTCAAACAATTCATAGATACATAGTTCCATATCAAGGTCGAAGAGAACCACTTTAATCATCTAGTCTGACTTCCTGTATAACACTGACAACAAACTTCCCCCAAAATAATTCCTTTTGAACTAGAGCATATTGAATTTTTAAAAATCCAGTCTTGATTCAAAAATTGCCAGTGATGGAGAATCCCTTGCTAAACTCTTTCAAGGTTTATTTAATCTTATTGGAAATGAGGCATACATTTTTAACATTCTGACCCTAACTTCAATTTCTAGCCACTGGACCTTCTTATACCTTTTTCTGCTAGACTGAAGAGCTCATTACATTTGTTCCCCATCTAGCTATTTATAGACTGTGCTAAAGTCAGCCAATACTCTTCTCTCTGTAATGTAAACAGATCTAGCTCCTTGAATCTATCACTAAAAGGCATGTATTCTAGCCCTTTAATTATTCTCTTGGCTCTTCACTGAACTCTCCACCTATTTATCAGCATCCTTCTTAAATTGTGAATACCAGAACTAGACACAGTATTCTAGCACAGATTGCATCAGTAACAAATACAGAGGTAAACTCACTTCTCTGTTCCTACATGAAATTCCCATTTATGCATCCAAAAGAATTAGTTCTTTTGGCCACAACCTCACACTGGAGCTTGTCTTCAACTGATTCACATGCCCTAGATCTTTTTCAAAGTTACCTGCTTACCACAATAGCAACCCCCCATCCAGTAAGTATAACTTACATTCTTTTTTCCTAGATGAATAGAGAAGGACAAATCTCTGGCCAGCGGAGGTCAGGAGTTTCTTAAGTGATTTTAGCTTGTTCAGTAGCTTATTGGACCATTAATATTAATTTTCAGTAAGTCTTGAAATTTCAGGAAAGTGCCAGAAAACTGGAAGAAAGCTAATTTTGTGCCAATATTTTAAAAGGGTAAATGTGATGACCCAGGTAATTGTAGACCTGTCAGTCTGACAGTAGTCCCAGGCAAGATAAACATACTTTCACATTCTTCCTCTTGACTGTTAGATAAATAATACCAGGCTTTCGACAGAAAACATGTTAGCACAGTAGACGTAACTGTATTTTAAAGAACTCCAGTAAGATTGCCTTGTCCTTTTTTTTTTATATTATAGGTTTCTGTTTGGTCTGAGTAAAAAGCATAACAACAAAAAGCATAACAAAAAGCATGGACAACAGTTACTGATGACCAGAAGTGCAGTTTAAAAAGTTATTTTGTCTTACGTTAGTCAACAACCTGCAAATCCACTAATTTTTCAGAGAAGAGAGGAAAAGCAGATAACTGTAAATTTACCTAGGTGCATCTACACAGCACCCTAAACTCGAAATAAGATACTCAATTTGTACTAAACAAATTGTGTATCTTATTTTGACTGAATTTTAAAATAGCGTATTTTGATTGAATTTTGAAATATCATATTTCAAAATTTGACATGTCTACACAGCACCACATTTTGAAACAATGCACTACTTCAAGACATCCCTTAATCCTTGTGGAACGAGGGTTACAGGGATGCCAAAATAGGTCTTGAAATAGTATAGAGCACTTTCCAAAGATGCAGGGTAGCTATTTCAGGATACTTCCAGTATCCCAAAATAGCCCCGCTGTGTAAATTTACCCCTAGATTTACACTATCAACTGCAAAGCAATGTCTTAAAAATAGGGGTCCAGAGTACAAAAACATTTCTGCAACAACTCCTCTGTTGTTCGTATTTTTATTTAATTTTAAAACATACCCAAGACAAGAAAGTTTTATAAAAACAGATGTAGTTAACATGACATAAACATTTGGGATTTCTTTTAAAGCATACTAATGTAAGTGCCAAGAGATCAGATATCAATGAAAGGAAGCTAATGTGAACAAAATCCTTAGGAAAGATCTGCCTCATACAAGCTGACCACACTGAACTTAACTTTTTACAACACTTGAGAAAAACAAACTGAAAGATTAATCAAAATAGTATACTCTAATGTTCTTATCCACCACAGGAACCTGCTAGAAAATCTGAGAATGTTTTACAAAACTCTTCAGAGTAATGCACACAATCCAAATTCAAGAGCATGTACACTTAGGCACC